ACTCAAGGGTGAAGCTCCCAGTGTCGAAAATCACGCTGACATTCTGGGCCGGGGTTCCGACTGATAGAATTGCTGTTAGGAATGATGCTACGCTGTCCCTTCTCTGTACTGACCTTGAATGTCACCGTACCATCTAGTTTGCAACAGCGTCAGACTAAGTTCATCTCACATAAGCACGAACTCACTGAAGGTCGGTGCCGTTATAGTAATCATCCAGGGCAACGTTAATCGACGTGCCTGCCCTCTTGCGCAGAGATGCCATGTGCCCTTTGGGCACTTTCTGAGCAGTCAACGAGATGGGATGCAGTGCCTTCGCGGGCTGCGGGACCGACTTGGCCGAGGCAACTAGAAGACCGAAGGTGAGTATCACGGAAGTAAACATCTTCGCTGGCAGATGAAGAGAGCCAATTGGCATAGACCGAACCTCATCGCCGCTGCATTTTATCCACGTCGCCGGGCATCCAGGGTAAGGGCCCTGACAGACCGCTTTGTGAACACAAGTGATCAGCCACAAACACCTGAAACATTGGAGACAGCATAACACCGTATCAGCATGTTTTCCCCCACACGGTATACTATAAAGACGCTCCGGGTAGATCTAGGACTAGCCCGTACGTGGGGAGTAACGTAAAGTGCACTCGAGGTTTCCCCATGTGGAGGGCACTAGCCACTTACGAGAATTCACGAACGCAAAAACGACCGGCTACAACAGCCATCGCAAGACGATTCTGCATGTGGTTCACGGCAGCACAGCTCACTGCAGCTTCGTGGGCGCCGAGGGTGATAGGGACCACTTTGCCTAACTGCTGCATACGGCACGTATCTCCCGCAATGCAATGCGGCTAACGGATAGCAGCCCGTATTCCCCACAATCAGCAAGTCCATATGCACCCCATCTATACACTTCTTCCCGAGGGTCATGTCCGGGTGAGAACGTCTACAGGGGGCGCGTCCTCGGTGATGAAGGGCCGCTCCATGGGAGAAAAGTAGTCCAGGACGATCCACTTCACTCATGGATAGCACGTTGCCATGGCAGAATGCGAGCTGTCGATAGCCAGCATGATGTCCGAAACCATGACGGGGCTGTTCTGCATGAACTGCTAGTCAGTCTGCATAGTCAACTAAGCACGGTCTATACTTACCTTGTTCAGCGCTCAGCTCTGCCGAGCGCCCGAAATACCGCAAGGTGAAGGACATCACAGAGCGACTGGAAGACGCGAGTCCATGCTGACTTCAACCCTATTACAGTTTAGTCTAGCACAAACGTCTTTTTTCGGTTTGCCCATGACTCGGATACCTGCCAGTGAACGTCCGAGTCGAAGTGAAATGGTAGGGCCCTTCACTTACTCAGAGTACATATTACAAGCAACTAGCGAGGGTCAGACCTGCATGGAGCGTCAAAAAGTAAGCGAAGGGAAGCAAGGAGTTGCGGAACATACCTTCGGATGTTGGAAGCCTTGAAGGTGTCCAGGCCGGCGGTGGTCTCCGAGTCGGTGGGAGCACAGCGGGAGCCTTGGATCATACTATCGACTGTTCGCATGTTGGTGGATGCAAGATTTGACTTCGAGCAAAAAATGACGAGGATACAGTGGTGTGCATGTTATGCGGATAATGCTAGCTACGAGCTCAAATTGAGTTCGTCACTGCTAACTGTTAGGCCGTGTTACTAGCTGCTGTCTGCAGTATCCCAGCCGCTCGGCCGCCACCGCCGGATTAGGCAACATGGGCCAATAAGTTCGTCATTCGCAGTATCTCGTCCGTGATCCACATCGTACCTCCGACCACCCACTGCAAGGCGCGTCGTAATGCCTGCAGCACCTCGCTGGAGGACTGCGCTTGCGAAGGCTCTAAGCCTTCCTGAGAATAAGTATCAGAATGGTACGCCCTGCCTCCGTTCGTTGAAGCCTAGCATGCACTGCGTACTAATCCCGAGGATTTACACCCGCAGTCTACCAGCTCGCAACTATTGACGCGAATCGTGATCCTCGCTCGCGCACGGTAGTTCACAGGGACTTTCTGCACCCGGAAGGAAGCCCTCATCTCCCCGTTCTTCTGACCACTACGGACGCTCGGACACCGAAAGTATCGCAAATCCACGATCACCCGCGCGTCGAAATCACCTGGTGGATGGGCGGGTCTCAGGACCAATTCCGTATCGCCGGTCCTATTCGCGTCGTTCTTTCGCCAGATGTCAAGCTCGAATCAGGAAGCAGTCGTCAGGAGCCGTCTCTGGCGCTCGACAGGATGGACGAGCAGGGCTTCGACTGGGAGAAGAAGCGCCTCGATATCTTCGACAGCATGAGCGCCCACATGAAGGCCAGCTGGTGCCGTCCTCCTCCCGGAAGTATAATGAAGTCGTACGACGATGCGAAGAAGTGGCCGCAGACAGTGCCGAAGCTCGGTGAGGCCGAATCTGAGGAAGATAAGCGTAACCAGGAGCAAGCCCTGCGCAACTTCGCCCTTGTCCTCGTTGAGCCGGTTGAGGTTGACTGGGTCCAGTTGGCTGAGAAGCCAAACCACAGGACGCGATTCACGCGAAACGGAGAGCAGTGGAAAGAAGAGATCATAGTGCCGTAACACACGCCCACCCTAGACATATTCTTTCACCGGCATCTTTCCGACTGTATCGCTAGGAGATTTCTCTGAACTGTTCTGTACTCGTTAGCCTGTAGTAGCCCAAGATGGACGGTGTAAATGTAATCGTTGTATCTGGACTGTAGGCTGTGGCCTGGTATGTTGACTTGCGCGAAGTAGTAGAAATACCGACATGCCTACCGTACCGGGGCTCAAGACTATCAATTCTGACATAGTTGGCGTGCACTGAGACGTCTATGAGGGGTATTATACATTGAAGTGGTATCAAAGGATGGAGTAGAAAGGGCGTCATTCAGTCCCTCCATCGTCACTACTTTCATCAGTGGTTGCGTCGTCGTCGGAGGTATGCGGCGCAGGGTTGTCGCCATACATGGCTCGATGCCTCGCTAATTCCTCCTCGAACTGGCGCTTTCGATCAGCGATTAACATGTCGATAGTGTCGATGAACCGCCCGTCCGTCCACCTCTCAGTGCTTTCCAAAGCGCAGCCTCGCATCTTCTGCTTGCGCCCATGGAGGTAGATCACCTCAAGTTCGTCCGGCGCAGGTTCGCCGGCCTCTCTCCGCTGTCTCGCTATTCTTTGACGTTGGTTCGTGAACCAGTGATTGATCTTATGATAGTTACTGCATACGCGTTAGCATATGATGGTCACACATGAACGACAGTAGACAACTCACTATGCCAGTTTGATGGCCAAGAGCGCTTTCCAGAACACTTCGGGATAGGGCGTGACGTTGTCGAATATCCAGGTCAAGATGTGAACCTGGTAAGGCGGCGCCGGTGACTTGTGCCCGGGCTTCTCGTGTATGTCTTCCCCGGTCTCCTTGTCTTTTCCGATCCATTTGGACTCCTCGATGTAGTACTCGCGCAACGCGCGACACTCAGCCTCCTCCCCGTCTTCATCCTCGTTGATTTCCTTCTTGCTCCGTCTATTCGCCCGCTTCTTGGCGATCGACGAAGCTGTAGCCTTCGCTTTGCTCTTTGAATTACGAGACTTGATGGTGCTGGGTCCCGCAACTGAAGAGGGCTCGACAAGGCCCTGTTCTCCTGTGCTTTCTAGTTCAGTAGCAGGCTAAAATGAGTCCTTGCACAGTGCATACCTATAGCCGGGATTATCGGCGAACCTATGTAGTTGTGCTTTGAAGACCGCACGGTGATGGCCTCTGTGTCAGCTTGATCGGGTGGAGTCGTGCTGGTTGACTGAGGGCACTCGGGAGCGGCGGTCTTTCCGGGAAATACCGAAGAGCCTCCTATGGAGAGCAATGCTTCGATCGCGTCTTGTTCTGCGATCGGCCTGGTGTGAACGGGGGGCGAAGGGCTGGGATGGCGTGATGATCCTGCCTCTGATTGAGAATACCGGAGCGCAGGATGGAGTCCCCAGGATGACACGGCGGCGAGCATGTTGTGTGCTAGAGCGTCTGTGTGAAGCGGACGTGGGGAGCGTGGAGTGGCAGGTGCGAAGGCAAGGGACGAGGGCGAGTGGTGGCCGAGCACCGCATATCGAACCAAGGAGATATATACTATGCCGTGGATGAGTGGCCCTTTGTCTGACGCGCCGAGTGTGACGCATAATGACGTGGATTTCGCAGTCCGATGAGCGAGTTGCACAAAGCAAGAGGCATGAGTGGCGGTGGCCACGGGCCAGTGCCCACGCGCTCCGAACAACCGAATGAAAGAGTGGTTACGCCAGCGGCTTACATTGCTTGGATGTTGATAATGCTGAGAGAAGTGTTGCTAGGTGGCCGGCACTGGGCAGGGCCGATGACGCTCACTTAGGGGCTTCTCGGGACTGGCCATAGTTCCCGCCGCTGTACCTTGCTATTGAGAAATGAGCGTCCGAGACAGGCGTAAAGGCTCGATCATAATCGAAGCAATGCCTGCGCGAGAGATATGTCATACATTTCTAGGATCACGCTGAAAAGGACGCACCTCTGAGTCATAGTTCACCTTGCCTCAATCATGCCCATCATGGAACGTAGCATAGAATAGACACTTATACGGGCTACGATTGTCGTTTACACACGGGATAGCACTCAACTGCCTCTGCCTGGAATCTGATATAACGTCATTAGCACCAGTTCAACGTTCCTACCGTATCACCGCGAGCGAGCCGCACCCATAAGGTCAGGCTCCTGGTGCGGCAATGGCAACAGAAGATGGAGTAATAGCACAGGTGGTAGAGCACTTAGTTCAGACAAAGGATAGAGCGTGATTGCTTCATATTCACAGGACGTTGCCGAGATGTACAGAGCAGGCAAAGCGGCGGAATACGCTCGCGGCTTTGGTTGTAGGACATGGGCGTCGAAAGCAAATCTGCGCCGGCGGCAGCCACTCGTTCGGCTTGGCACTGCGCTTGAAATGGAAGCTTATACTAGGAGTATAAATCTCCAAGTAAAATGACTTCAAGGGCGGTTGGCACAGTTGGTAGCGCGCACGCTTCGCATCTTTGAGATACTGCGTGAGGTCCAGGTTTCGAATACCTGATCGTCCATGAGTTTTTCTCGCTTTCAAATAGCTGCTGTCCCCGCACTAGTGCGCTAAGATCTGACGGCGAGCAGATGCTGATAGGCAATGAATGGGGACCGCTCCAGCTAATGCATGCAACACGGTTCGCATGTTTTCACCACAGAGTAGAGCATTAAGTACAATCTATCCTACCCGGCTGATACTAGAGGTCACTAACTTCATGCCAAACCGTTTGGCGCGAATGCCATTTGCTGATTCGCAATATCCCACACGCTGTAGTAATGCTTCAGCACACTGCCACCGACCAAATCCAGCCCGTCGAGGTAATTGATCATCGTCTGGCAGAGCGTTGGCTCGGCTTCGAACGGCCCGACGTTAAAGTCGCTGCTCGGAATCGTCAAGTTGAAGGGTTCGCCGTTGGTATCCGTGAAGGTGAGGTCGATCTGCGCGGGCAGTTCGTCAATCTTGTCACATGCGATACCGTAGGTACCAGGCTCGGGAGCGTAGGGTTGGATATCGGGAGAGATCGACGAGTAGATGGCCTAAGGGATTTCAAGTGTTAGCCATATCCCATTCGCAGCGAAACTTTGCTTAAGAGACCGACCTCTACGGTGTTATTGCTGCCGAAATAGACGTTAGGGGTACCACTGTCAAAGATAATGGTGCGATTCTGCGAGAGGGTGCTGGTCGTCTGGCCGTTGACATAGATAGCAGGGGAATCCAACGCCCAGTAGCCATCGCTCTCAGCCGACATCGGGGCGTGGATCAAGTTTCCTGTGTATTTCGATGAGTCGATCCCTCCGATCGTCAGCTCGGCATTGCCGACGGATTTCGGCGTCAGGTACAGGCTAAAGAGTGCTGCAGAGAGATATTGAGTCGCTGACTAACAGAGACTAAATAATGCTGACCGTCATAGCCCTGGTCCATAAGCCCAGGCCAGAAGCCGGTCAGCGCAGGTCCCATGCCTGCGGGAGACATGTCAGATATAGATATAGACATATTCGATGGATGTCAACAAGCAAGGACGTACCCTGGATGCCGCCGTTTGGATCTGCGTCAAAGGCCTGTGTCTGGTTGATGATAGTATACAAGGAAACATTGGGAGTGCTGATTCCTCCGACGGACACTGTGTCACGACCCTCACGGAGCCATAACACATACTCGTCGTCATACTGCAGCGTGTCCACACCAATGCCAGTGACAAACGGAATGGTGGTGAATGTGTCGCTGCTGACATATGTCGAGCTCGCCGAGGTGTTGAACTTCGGCTGGTTAGCACATGGTTCGCCGCATTCGGTACCTGCAAACGGTGAGTCTCAAAGTGTGGCGGTAAGATCAATCCACATATTACTCGTGAATTCAAGAGAGCTGCTTCCGGTGTCGAAGATCACACTAACATCCTGCGGTGGGGTTCCGACTGAAGGCCTGCCGATCAGCACAAATCATGCCATCTGAAGTTTGAACTGACCTTGAATATTACCGTACCACCTAATGTGACAAAGGCAAATCAATGCCTCGACCCTCTGCAGTGAATGCACTTACTGAAGATCGGTGCCGTTATAGTAATCATCCAAAGCGATGTTGGCTGACGTGCCAGCTCTCTTGCGCAGAGATGCCATGTGCCCCTTGGGCACTTTCCTGGCGGTTAGCGAGACGTGTTGAAGCTCCCCTGCAGGCTGCAGCACTGCTCCGGCAGATGCGGCCACAAGGACGAGGATCAGTATTGCGGATACAAGCATTGTCGCTCACACCGAGTGCTCAGGGCCGATGCCCTTGGTCAGATGTCGGTCGACTATAAGTATGGATTCTTGCTATGAAGCACTGGTGCTGAAGCGCTGACAATCCGCGGCTGATGCATTGAATCATTCGATGCAGTGTGATCTCGGCAGCACGACGCGTCGACGTAGCTTCTTTCCATGCGGTTTGAGACTTTGAGCGAAGACGCTTCCTGATCGAAGAGTCATATACACGTGGTGGTGTATGCTACAACGTGCTCGAGGATTCCTGGTATGTGCCGTGTCGTGAAAGTAGCGATCACGGATCTTGCGGGTGCATGCGGAATACATGTGCGCACATGCTTGCCTACCATGAGTACTGACGTCGGACACAGTCGGTGGCCTCGGGGCTTGTGTTGTCCTGCTTGCACAGTTCTGCATGCCACTTGGGTCGGACCCTGTAATAATAATGGGCCAGATGGAGCAGACAAATCAAAAGACAAAAGAAACAGACCTACACTCCCTGCGCCGCGATGCACACAGGCGTGATCTAGAGACACTGCCCGTTCTTGTCGATGCCAGACTCGCCTCGTGACAGTCAAACCGCTCTCTTACACACATCATCGTCATCAGGGGGTGCAAACGCTTGCGGAGAACGCGCGGCGCTACGGGAGGAATGGCCACCCAAGGCCATCCGTCGTAGGCCACCTACAGGCCATTCCCACCCAACGACAGCCGAAACTGACACACGGTCACGTATGATGTTATGGAGCTATACACCGGCGGGTGGCCGGGAAAGGCTACTCCCAGACTACTGTGCACCTAGTCCGTTCGCTAGAACCAGGCTCGTTCGAGGCGGAAGTGTCCTGCGCAACAATGGTCGATACGCGTCATCGAGGCTAGTCTTGCCATGAAAGGACGCCTCATGAATGCGAGGATGTGGAGTGCGAAGTTCTCTCGGTTGAATTCGCCCGAACGGAGGTAGACCTAGTGGGAGCGGAATAGACCAATGGTATTATCCGTCGTCGATCGATTAAATTAATACAGAAGGGATGCAAGTCACAGCCAAGCGAGCGCGCACGAACTCGAAAGTCAAGACCCCTGCATGCGAGGTGCTCGTCCGAGAAAGCTATCCACTCTATTGAAGAGCGAGGACGACTGACTACGGGAGTAGGCAACAGTCGGCATTGCGTCTAACTTGAAGCTTGAGCGGGATTTCGAAATGAATTCTGATGTCATCTCCGCGCCATATTCTTCGGCGAGTTGGCTGCGATAAAAAACCAAACGTTTGAGCACCCCAGATACATGTGCACTTCCGACGCTGACCTTGTGTAATTGTCCATAATCACCGCAAGGCTCCGCACGTCAAGGCGGTACGCCTTGGGCATCATACCCTTCCCGAAGCGGTACGTGATGTGATTCGAGCATAATAAGCCTGCGAGAATGACGGCGATATGCGCGGGCACGAGCGCGAACACGACAGTGTACCACCATTCCAGAATCGTCCTCTCGAATCGCAAGTACGGCGCTTTGCACCCGGGCAGAACGCTGCGCGCGTAGCACGTCGCGCTCGCCGTCGCCTCGACGAACGGGCTGAAGTACCCGCAGCAGTGGAGTTGGTTCTGGATGCGCACGCGCCCATCCAGTCCAAGTTGCTGCGACCACTGTTGGTTGATCTTGCCCTCGAGATTGAACGCACGTTGCTTATATGTCATGTAACCTGGCGTCACGAGGAGCGCAAAGACTGCCCAGAGAAGTGCGCAGTACACCGACAAGAACGCACGATTGTTGAGCAGGATGCCAGACCACCCGACAAGCGCGGTGAACACGCCCAAAGCTGCGGCGCATGTCGAGACGATCAGCTCGGGCTTGTTGCCCACGCGGATGATGTCCGCATGCTCCCAGGTGTTGAACCAAATGAGGAGGAGGACCACCAGCGCTGCGATAGAGTACAAGGTGAACTAGGGTAATTCAGCGACTGTTTCCTGAAAATGTGCTCTAACGCTTACAATCAGGTTTGCCACCAGTAGCATCCACTTGAATCTATTCCAGCGTTGCTTAGGTCTAGCGTGTCCTCCTGTGTGTTCGTCAAACTCGACACCGTCCAAGTCTTCGTCGTCGTCGCCGGGCATGCGCGCCTCGTTCCGCCTAAATACCTCGCGCCCTCCACCCTGCTTCGGCAGAGGACTATCGCTGTTCCTCCATGCCTTTCGACGCTTCGGTCCCTCGGAGAGGAGGGTCGTCGAGAACTTGGCGGGCAGATAGTTCACAGTGAGTGACACGCGCTTATCTTCCGAGTCAGCGCCGGAGGTGAGCCCATCGTTCGAGAGCACAGACGAGGTCGACCGAGAAAATAACGGGAGCTTAGGCGGCTCCAAGTGGGAATCCCCTTGAGACGACTCGAGCATATCGGGATCGAGGTGCTGGCTCCCAGATACAAGTGAATAAGTAGAGACGAGGAGGCCTGTTTGCCCGCGACTTGCACTTTAAGACGCAAGAAAAGGGTTGCTTATCCACGATAGAGAGACCGCGTTGCCCGTTTATTTGTTCGCAACTAAAGGCGCTGTTCTATGGAGGGGCGACTTCAAGTTCGGCGGCGGACTTGCGGCTGGCGAGAGGGTGCCCGCCCTTTAGATTTCATCCAGGGGACATGGGTGTACTTCGGGTTTTGGTCCAGCACTAGACCTTTCATGACTCGCAGATAATAGGTGGCAACACATCCAGCGTCGACACGAACATGTGCATGTCCAAGCTCGGGAGATGATAGTGGCTCGAGAGTTCGACAGCAACTAAGCGCCCGCGCTCAAACAAGGATCGTCGGAGAGCATCCTCGTGTAAATACAATCAAGCTTACAGCAAAGCTTGAGGGAGCGTGATCTCCTAGCTACTTGTAAACAAATTGGCTGGTACCATGCCAATGGCAGCATAAAAATGACAGACGACTGAGGACTACAGATACAGACACAACGGTGGTACTAGACGATAGCAAAGCTAGCAAAGAGGATTCACAGCTGAGAACAAAGACGATTGATGACACATGCAGAAGATGTATGAAAAATGGTGGCTGCTAGAGGGAATACGTCGGAAAAGAAACAATTGGAGGAATCCAGACTGTCCGTATTGACCTAGGACATAGTGTTTAATGGGTCTTGACCTCCCGTACGCGTCCCGCGACGAACAAGATCCTCCACTGCTTTGGCAAGCAGTTTGTTGTGCGCTAGTTGTTTTTGTACGCGTGCTTCCTTCCCAGCTCTCCGGAACAACTCTACGAAGTGGGGAGATTAGCATTCTAGCCAGTAGGTAGCAAGTA